TCGAGACCTGCCTGGGCAACTTGGCGAGACCTCATCTCTACAATCAATCAAAAAATAAGCTGGGCATGGTAGCGTGTGCCTGTAGTTCCAGTTACTCGGAAGGTTAAGGCTGAAGGATCACTGGAGCCCAGTAGGTCGAGGCTGCAGTGGCCAGAGTGGCCACTGCACTCCAGTATGGGCAACAGAGTGAGACTCCAACTCAAAAAAAAAAAAAAAAAAAAATAATAATCCTCACTTAACAGACAAGCAGGAGAGGACAAGTAACACACCTGAGATCCTAGGCCTGCTTAGAGGCAATTCTGGGATTTGGACCTGGCAGATTTTGTTTGTTTTTTTCCTTTGAGAGACTGGGTCTTGCTCTGTGGCCCAGACTGGAGCACAGCGGCATGATCATAGTTCACTAACCTTGAAATTCTGGGCTAAAGTGATCCCCTTGCCTTAGCCTCCCAAGTAGCTGGAACTATAGGCATGAGCCACCACTCATTTTTCCTTTTGTTTTTTTTTTGGTAGAGATGGGGACTTGCTATGTTGCCCAGGCTTGTCTTGAACTCCTGGCCTCGAGTGATCCTGCCATCCCAGCCTCCCAAAACACTGAGATTACAGGCCTGGGCCACCACACCGAGCCGTCCCTGGTAGTCTTAACTGCCCTACAGGATGCAAGCAGAGGCCCTGAGGGAGGCCGGGTTACGGCCTGCATAGTAGGGACCCATGCCTCAAGGGAAAATCAGTAAAGAGCTGACCTTGATTTAGAATCCAAAATAAAGCAAAGGCAAAGGTCGTACATATGGAGGCCTTTGAGGTTCATGTTCCCAGTAGGAATGCCAACTGCAGCTCCATGGTGTTGTCCTTCTTGTTTGCGTGGCCTCTTCCTGGCTGGTTCAGACAGTACCGCTGAGGACCCCACCTGGATATCTTTTTTTTTTCTGAGTCAGCGTCTCACTCTGTCACCCGGGCTGGAGTACAGTGGCCTGCTGCTCATGGCCACCGCAGCCTCGACCTGCCGGGCTCCGGCGATCCTTCCGTCTCAGCCTTCCAAGTAGCTGGAACTACAGGCACACACTGCCACGCCCGGCTAATTTTTTGATTTATGGTAGAGACGAGGTCTCGCCAAGTTGCCCAGGCGGGTCTCGAACCTGCGGACTCAGGCAATCCACTCACCTCAGCCTCCCAAAGGCATGGGATTACAGGCTGAGCCACCGAACCCGGCTGTGTCCACTCTTTTTTTTTCTTTTTTTTGAGTTGGAGTCTCACTCTGTCGCCCAGACTGGA